CTTACAATACTACTCACAGAAAAAATAATGCAGAACACCCAGAGCTGACACAAGTTTGCAAACCTTCTGGAACCATTAATTTGCAAATGCAAAATTGACACATCTCCTGGGGATCTGCGCTGTATTAGTCAAAGGTTTAAACCCAGAGTATTCCCCATGAATAATCTTTCTCCCTTTCCCCCTCCTTCTTCCTGTCCACATGTAAATGCAGAATTTCTTGTCTTTAGTTTACAGATTATGTGATCCAAAGTGTCACTCACTGGATTACTGCACATAACCTGAGCACTACCCAGAGCTTACTTGTCTTCAACTTGTGCAGCATTACTTAACTGGAATTATCCCTCACAATCCATACAGGAATCTGCACAGCTCACTTATCTCAAGATTCTGTGTGTCACCTACCAGATTATCCCTTTTAATCCATACATTGAATCTACATAACATATGTCTTTAATTCAGGGGCTCTGATGAGCTATAGTATCGCTGAATGGATTATTTCTCTTTAGCCATTATTGGCAGCCCTAAAACCCCTCACTGCCTACTCTCTGGTGCCCCATCCCCTGAGCACAGGGGCACAAGCAGAGTCTGCAGCAAGCACAGCTCCATCTCACATCAAACCACCTGCACTGGCACTGCCCGGGACCTGGAACCCAGCTCCTCACACAGAACAAACCTCTGTGCTATGGTGAGCTGCAGAGCAGGGCTGGGAGGCTGATCTCACCTTCAGTCACCTCCATAAATCTGTGCTTACTCCAGAGCAGCCTCCAGAGTCACCCAGATTTCCATGGACACAATGAAGAGCTGACTTCAACCCAATCCCTTTCACAGGGAGTGCAAAGAACTTCACCTGAGCTGTTTACAAACTCACCCACACAATACAAAAGGTCTTTCAAATAACAACAAAAATACATCAGATTCAGACCTGCCCAGTCTTTCTTGAGAGATTTGGGCACAATCACTGTTAACAATGCCTTCAAGAGAAAACCAGCTCAGAAAGACTGGAAACAGAAGTCTGTTCGACCTTTTGTTCCACACACCTATTCAAAATTAGCTAAGTGGGGAACATAAAAAATATGCCTTGCTGTGTCTTGCCAAGTTTCAGTAGAGAGATGGACAAGATTAGCAGCAAGGCTTTGTGCACACCAAGTCTTAAGAGGAGTTTTCATCATAGTTAAAGCTGCCTCACTCACCCCAGTGTGAGCAAGGCTGGACAACCCTTGATGCACCTGAGGCCCAGTGCCAGTGAAAGAGAAGCTTCACTTTATAATTTAATTTAAAAGTTAATTTTATATAAAGGAATGATCACTGATAATTAAGGAATACATCTATTTTTGATAGCTTTTCCTACTAACATTGGAGGACAGCACCTCCTTTCCCACTGCAGTGCACAGCTAACAAGGCAGTTACACTGACAGCAGAAAAGGGGATGATTTTCCTTCCTGTACACCACCACTTTGAGACCTGAAGATCTCTCTGCTCCACTGAATCCAATAAAATGCATTATCCAAGGATAATCCAGAGGCCTTTTGAGCCCTGGTTTTGACTGGGATGGATATAAGTAAGTTTGAACAGGCTTTAACCAAGTCAATATACAGTTTTACAGCTTCACTATAAATACTTCAATTAAACAGCACTTTTGTAGGTTTTGCTATACGGCAACTTGTTTTGCGCAGAGTAAAAATTCCATAGATATCAAAACAGAATTTCTTAAGAAACTTCTAGTGCTAAAATTGTAATTTAGCCCCAAACTCTCTGAACAAGCACAGGTATTTGAGTTACAGTTTCTACAGACATAAAAAGTTCTAGGCTTTGCCCCTTTTTAAGAGCATTCCCTGGCAGTACCTTTGGGTCCAGCTGTGGAATAAAACAACCCATTTCCCTTTCAATTAGTAACTGGATGGATATAGACCCTCCTAAGTGTGATCTTCAATCTGCAGCTGCCTCTGCAGACACTCAGAGATGGCTCTTCTGCTTTATGGGTGTGCAGACGAAGAAAGGGGGGTTTAAATAGCAGCCAAAGGTGACAAAGCGACCAAGAGAAACAACTGAGCACAGAACATGAGAGCCTGGCCACTTCCAACCTCTCACCAATTTCCCTGTCTTTAATAAAATACCCCTGCTGTCTAGCTTAAAGGAAATCACGCTAATAGAAAATAAAGTCTCACGCTAATAGAAAATAAAGTCTTCCTCTTCATCTCCCTTTCTTTAATCTCTCCCAGATAATAAAACTCAATGGTAATAACACAGACTTGGGCATTAACAGTATGTAGCCTGGTGCTGAGCCTTTTTGCACATGATGTACTAAAACTCCCCCAGACCTAATGAAAAGCACAATGAAATTTTGAACAGTTAAATGGAAAAAACTGTTCAGCGTGTAAGACAGTTGGGCAGCACAGCTCCTAGTGCTGTCCACATTCCAGGGTGTATTAAACATAAGACATGGCTAAAATGGGGGTTTCCAAATATCACTAATAGAGAAATGAGGGGCGGAAAAAACGCAGCTGCCGGGCCAAGTACAGAGAAAGAAGTTAATTAAAAAATCACAACTGGAAAACTTTGTAACTATAGAATGACAAAACCATTTTGCAGCAAATATACGTGTGTTTGTACACGTGTGTGTGGGTACAGAGCAGCTCAACTTGCACACCTTTCCTGCTGCCTCACTAAATATAGCTGCAGTACAGCTGAGCCATTGTTTGTTGGCTGCTCAGGGCTGATGGTGCCATGAAAACCACATTCCTGGGCACTAAATAATCAGCCTGCCTGACCCCCCAAGAATCTGTAAGTCAAATTCATTTACCCCCAGAGGGCAATGCTCTATTGTATCCTCCCTCCTTTCCAGCCACCTAGGAACAATGGACAATAATTGCAACTGTCACGGCAGTCAGTAGGAAAAATAAACCAGTGCCTGTTTTCACAGCTTACTGCCAAACTTGATCCAAACACCTAATAACCATGCCCCCAACCACAGAACCACAGTCACACTAAAAAGCCTCAGATGTGAGCCTTTTGAACAGAGCTACAGAACAATAACTCGACTTGTGTTCAAAATATAAAGCTAAAAACCAAAAATTAAAGCAAAGAAAAGTCTTCTTTGAGGCTGTGCTGTTGCTCCCCATCCTTTCCCCCAGGCACGACTGAAAGGACTGTTGAATTTCTCTGGTGGTAGCATATAGCTGGCTGCTGCTGCTTTCAAGTTTAGCTTGTGAAAGGGAAAAAGAGGAAGGGAGAAAAAAGATTGCCCTCCAAAAGAAAAAGATCACAGGCAGTGGGAACAGACCACCTTCTCAGTGCACAGCACTCTTCAGAGCAGCTCCACAGAGTGCAGAGGCACTGGAGAATCACTGGGAGTCCTTCTAAAGGTTCTAGTGTGTCAAGAATTAAAGAGGCTCCACACACTGTGCAAGACCTGCCCAAAAGTGGGTATCAAAGATGTCTCCCCATACTCTGTCCCTGAAACATCCTGAAGATGCATCAGTTCATGGCAAAGGGTGATTTCATCTTGAAACAAAGTGCTTTTAAAACCCAGACCTCCCAGGTAAGCCCAGGGCTGCCCTTCCTCTTTCAGACCTGTTGCTTTACACACATGGACCAGGAATGAAGAAATCAGGGTTTGGCCCTCTGGAGCCATAATAATCACCATCATCATCATCATAACAACATCTCAGCCTGTTGGGGGCTGGAGCACTGCATTCTGTTATAAAGTTACTCCACAGATGTAGTGAATATGTATCTTTGAAGTACAGCCTGCTGGGGAGAAGTCTGGGGAAACCAGGGGAATATTTTCCTGTTTGGGTAAGGCAGTGGAACAGCACAAGCTAATGCTGGTGGCTTATCAGTGACAGGCTGGAAGGCCCATAGAATTAAAATAACACTTTCTCTGCATCTGCACCAACCCAAGAACCTGTGAGAGCATCTTGTATGGTGTGCTTTACTGAATATTGCACACCTCTTGTGCACAGGGCCCTTAAACCTGCCAGCACAAGGTCTGGGAGCCTGCCTGAGTGAGCATCTCTAGAGCAGGGACAACATTAGCAAGTAAACATTCCAAAGTAATGGACAGAAACTAAACCCTGTTTATAAACACAGGAGGAGAAGGGCTTAATTTTAATTTCATTCTACTTTCACATTTCCAAAACAACGCTGGCTTGGGTTTTGCTACTCCAGATGCACACTGCTATAAACGGGAGAAGAATCAGAGTCACTGCTTCTTTTCAGAGTGATAATGGCTGCTCTGAAAACTTGCAATTTTTGACACGTGTGTTTTGAGTGAGTTCCTCATCATAAGCACTGCAGAGGAATTATAAAAATATTAAATTACATGAAAACAAACAACCACAGGTTCCCTAAAACGACCTCAGATATATAAAATGGGGAAATATCTTGGCAAAGCAGAAACTACTGCTGCTGGAGAGTGGTCAAATTTTGTCATTTTCCTTCTGGAGTACGGCTTTAAAAGAACATGCTCTAGTGCACAGATGTTGTACACTGTCTTTTAAAATCTGCACTGGCTAATTGCAGTACCTAGAGGTACCATTACACAAACTTTGCTCTTTTTATTCTTCCCTACATGCAAAAAAAAGTAAAAAAAAAACCAAAAAAACCAAAAAACCAAAACAAACAAAAAACTACATCATCGAAATCTGTCCAAAAATAAACAAGGAAATCAGATCACCCTCAATTTCAGAAACTGAGCTCTGCTATACTCTGGTACCACATATGTCTGATACTGACTTTTTTTTCCCCCTATCCAGCAATAGGATGTGCTTGTTTATAACAGAGAACGATATAGGCAACAAAAGCTTAATGTAAATTCATTCACTTAGGGCAATACAGCATTCCATTGATTTATATGATCACAGATGGGAGTGCATACATTTCATTTAAACCCCAAATTACCGTGTTTGAAGGGGAGGGGAAGAGGAGCAGACAAAGTTCCACAAAGCCAGCGGTATTTGTATATTCATTCTCAATTTCCTTTAGCAGAGAAACAGCGTTACCTTTTATTTCTCCAAAGTTCCCTGATCCCATGGCAAGAAGCTTGTCTTTCCAGTCCTTTGATAGTAGCTTTTCAATACTGGGAGTTTCTGAGTGAAGGGGGGGAAAAAAAACGTAAGCAAATCAACATGACTGTCTCCACAATAGAACTCATTAAAAGTCTATCTGCTAAAAATAAGGCCAACCCTATTCTGGGCCCCCAGTTCGTAATGACTTCATCAACAAACTGATAAGAGGGGAGGGAAGAAAAAAAAAAAAAAAAAGAACAAAAAAGAAAAAAACTGAATGTGTTTTGTCACCTGCTGTTTCAAAACCATTAGCTTTTTCCTCTAGTGGAACAAAGCTCCGGTAATTCTGTGTTACAATGGGCACATGTAAACCTGCAGTTCATTGTTTTTCAATTTGGTGAACAAGTTGCTGCCTATAATGGATGCCTGTCAGTTTCTGGGTGTTAGTCTGTAGTCAAAAAATAATTATGTTGATAAAATGCGGAGTAAAGAGAGAGAGAGAGAGAAAGAGAGAGAGAAGCAAAGAATTAGCTCCTAAATCTGCTACATGTAATTATATCCCTCTGAGTCTTTACAATTACATCCACTTTATAATGTGTGTTTAAACATCGTGTGGTGGTAAGCACACTGTGGAAAGATTTTCCGGTAACACACGCATTATAAATAATAATAAAAAGTTGGGTATGGAAAAAAGCTTTAAAAGACTGCAAAATCCAGAGGGAGAAAAGGCATCGCTTAGAATGGAAACCCATTATTTGCTCATTTCAGATTCTATCACTTCCTTTAAAAATAAAATAAAATATATTTGTTCAGTATTTTCAGGAAAAATGCAGCGAGGGTGTGGATGGGTCTGATATTTATGTCTGCAACTCTTGTGTTCTGACCTCTTTTTGTGTAGAATTTTAATGCATAAGTAAATATAAATGCTAATAAAATTCAGAGAACATTAAACTCAATTCCAAACAATGTAATTGTATATTCTTGTCAGCATTTAGATGGGTACACAATTACAATAGCTTTCAATCCCACGATTAGCACTGCATTCAGTTAGAAAATGGAGTGTACTAAAAGATAAGTGTCCCAGTATGTGCCATCTAAATAACAATACCCACACTTATTATCTGGATCTAAGACATATACCGCTATTCTCCGCATTGGTGTTTATGTGTATTTGTATTTGTTCAGGCATTTGTTTACCCCCTACCAGGAGCATAAAGGGAGCGCACGTTAACTTATCAAAGGGACCGTCTGGCCTAGAGACCGTACAATTATTAGCAACTGGTTAACTTTCCCCACAGTAAAAACCATTACGAGCCACCTTCATTATCTCGTTTGGCTAATTGCACCTCGCGTCCCCAGCCGCAGCTCGGGGCTCGGAGCCGGGCGTGCCCCGATGCCCAGGGAATGCCCGTGCCAGGGATGCCCTCCTGCATCCCTCATCCATCAGCCCGTGCGCTCGCAGGCAGACGGACAGACAGACAGACAGCCGGTAGCAGCCCCGATGCCCAGGGAATGCCCGTGCCAGGGATGCCCTCCTGCATCCTTCATCCATCAGCCCGTGCGCTCGCAGGCAGAGGGACGGACAGACAGACAGACAGCCGGGAGCAGCCCCGCGTCCGGCCGGGGGAGCAGCGACAACCTCCGGATGCCACCGAGAGCACAGAAGGCGCTGGGTCCGCTGCGGGTTTGTTCACCTGGCAGCGCCCCGAGCTCCTCCTGTGCCCCCGGGGGCGTTCCCCGGGCTGATCCCGGGCTGCCCGAGGGAATTTCTCCCTTAGAATCCCCAGTCGTGTCTCGAACCCCACGGAATCCCGGGGATGCCGCCGGAGCCCGCCCCGAGCGCGGCCGCTGAGCCGGGGGCGCCGCCGGGCTCCGGCCACTGCTCAACTTCGTCCGTCCCCTCGACGGAAACCATTTCCCACAGCGTGAATAGCTCGGACAAACACTGCCCCTCTCCCTTGTTTCTTTTTTTTAATATATACATATATATATTTAATTAATATTGCTCCGTGTTTTTCTGCAAACTCCGGAGCGGCGTGTAAACAGGCCGGAGCAAGCGCGGCGTTTGCGGCGGAGAGCCGTCAGTCAGTAAAAGCCAACAAACCTTTGCAAAGCAGGAATGCGGCAACAGGGATCCATTGTGAGCTGACAATGGGCTCCGGAGCCCCCAGGCACCGAAAGCAGCCCGCCTTACTTTTAAGTCCATTGTCAGCAAAGTCCGCGACAAAGCTTTTCCCCCGCGGCTGGACAAAACCCTCGCCGTGCTACGCTCGCGAAGAAGCACAAGTCTGCTGCCTAACTTGCTGCCTTAAAGCTACAGGAGCCGCTCAGGAGCCGGGGCTGCCGGAGCCCCGCTGCGCTGCCCGCTGCCTGCCGGCATCCCTGTCTGCCTCAATCCCTGTCTGCCAGCGTCCCTGCCTGCCGGCATCTCTCCTTGCCCCAGTCCCAGTTTGCCGGCATCCCTGCCTGCCCGAACCCTTGTTTGCCTGAATCCCAGTTTGCCGGCATCCCTGCTTGCCCGAATCCCAGTTTGCCAGCATCTCTTCTTGCCTGAATCTCAGTTTGCCGGCATCCCCGCTTGCCCGAACCCCTGTCTGCCTGAATCTCTGTTTGCCAGCATCTCTCCTTGCCCGAATCCCAGTTTGCCGGCATCCCTGCTTGCCTGAATCCCAGTTTGCCAGCATCCCTCCTTGCCCAAACCCTGTTTGCCTGCATCCCAGTTTGCCCTAACCCCTGTTTGCCGGCATCCCTCCTTGCCTGAATCCCAGTTTGCCGGCATCCCTGTTTGCCTGAATCCCAGTTTGCCTGAATCCCTCCTTGCCCAAACCCTGTTTGCCGGCATCCCTCCTTGCCAGAACACTCAAGTTTGCCCGAATCCCTGCCTGCCCTAACCCGTGCCTCCCGCACGGCTCGGGGAGCGGCCGGGCCGGGCCGGTGCCGCTCCCCGGGGCACCCGGGGCTCTGCAGCTCCAGCCCAGCCCAGCACGGCCGGTGCCGCTCCCCGGGGCTCCGCAGCGCTCCCGCTCCGGCCCAGCACTGCGAGCGATGCCGCGCACGAACAAGGGGGGAGGAAAGAACGCCGAGAACGGCCATGTATCAATGACTGAGTTTCTGCGAGAACGGTAAAGATCTCAGTAGGAAATCGCGATTAGAGATGTGAAAGGCCAAATGGCAAAATCCCAATAGTAACAATGCATCTGTTCATTAATGTGTGGATATGAGTAATATGAAAATTTAACACAATTATAAGCCCCCTCAGCAATCCTGATGGCATAAAATAGATTGTGGTGATCTAATCAGTGCTTCCCCTGTTGAAATACTGTATGTTAACTATTCAAAATAATATTATATAGCTTTTTTTCTTTTAAAACCCCCAAGCAATCATATTAAATTGATGTCTTAACTTAGTCTCAAACCTCTCTTGATCTGAACTGCCATTTTTACATAAGACACTTCAACACAATTTTGACACAGAATCAGCAAATAATCATCCTTCTCTCAGTACTTAAAAAAAATTTTAATTCTGAAAGACAATAGCTCCCCCACCCCTATAGCTTTACGGAGCCAAAGACCTAGATTAGATTACAGCTTGTTTAATTCTATTATATACCATGTTAACATCTTGTACTTACATAAAATATGCTATTCATATACTCAGCCTATCACATTTCAGTAACTGCTTGTGAAATACCTTATGCACCATGTCTTGGAAAGAAACATTTATTATGTCATTTATGTACCCCATTAAAAAAAGATTTGAAATTTACACATCTTAAATAAAAATAACTGTTTAAAAGGTTATGACAGGAGAGGTTCCATGAGTTACACAGGAACAAAGTCATCCTTTGTTCAGCTTTTTTTAGACCTGATTGGGAAGATGATGCTCTCAAATTAAGAGAAGAAATAAATGCTGTCTCTTGTCTGCAAGGCAGGCATTCTCTGGATTCGCTGGAAAGTCAGTAAAACTTTTAATGCTTGCACATATAATGTGCAGCTTGAAACAGGGAAAGGAGGCCTGCACACAGGAACTGCCATTTCTGATCCCTACTCTGCTCCTCTCCTCTTAGATTCCCCAAAATCGTGTTTTCTACGTGCAAAAACTGAGCTATATCATGACAGATTCTGGATGTGCATCAGGACAGCTATACATTACAGTGCTCTGCATTTCCAAAAAGCTACACACTGTGTTCTGAGTATTCCTAACACCTCCTAATTCACCCTTTGAGAAGAACCCAGAATTGCCTCTTCCTTTGCTTCTCCCAAGCCCCACCTGAGCTGAGAGTCCTCCCCAGTACCAATCTGCAGTGTCCTATGGTACATGGTAAACCAGTCCCAAGTCACTGCACAGGATGAAATCATCTGCAAGACTTGTTCACAGGCTGTTTGTGAACAGTAACTCAGTGGTGCTTGACATGTTTGTTCCAGACACACCAAGAGGAGTGTTACAGGTTCCTGCAGAAGAGGATTACAGAGAGGGCACCAAAGAGAAGAACTCCTGTTCTTTAGAGAAGATTCCTTTAGAGAAGGACTCCTTCTCTTTAGAGAAGATTCCTGTTCTTTCCACCAAGAGATGGAAAAAACAGGAATCATCAACTAAACACTGTCCAAGAGGCACCTGTCTGAATCAGCAGATTCAGCCTGTGCATCCATGGAACTGCCCGTGCACCATGGGAAAGCAAATCATCTCAGTAAATTAACATTAAAGGGCTTTTTTAATCTGATTTTTGGTATGCTAACAAGCATGTCACTCTACTCCTGCAATTGATATTTAAATACAGCTTCACTGACTTACTTTCTCAATAGCCCTGAAGTTTTCACACTGGGAAAGGAGTGGTTTGTTTCCAGGAAAGGGACGAGGCAACAGAGCCATAGTAGGAGAGAAGCACAATTTTTATCACTGCTAGACTTCTGTTGAATTTAGTCTACTTCCTGAAGTTCATTTTTTTTTGGAGCATTGTAGCTCCCCTTTGGGAGTGGACCTAATCCTGCTCTCAGTTCAGCAGCAGCAGAACTGAGAGCAGGGCCTGCCTTGGAGCTTTCCAAAACCCAGTCCCACAGCAATGCTGGGTCCAAAACCCAGC